GCATATGAAAAAACCGAAATAATGCATATATGCACACTTTCGTTTGAAAACCGAAATAACGCATATGACAAAAACGAAGTGATGCATACATGCACAGTTTCGACTCAAAACCGAAATAATGCATATGACAAAAAACGAAATAGTGCATACATGAAAACGACCTTCTTTCTGCGTAGGCGACCTTCGGCCGCGCTTAGGGATTATAACCCTTACTAAGTAGAACTCCCCTTTCTGTGTTACCGGAAACGAAGGGCGGAAGTATTTTAGCGCAGAACTTCTTTCTGCGTAGGCGGGCTTCGGCCGCGCTTAGGGACTATATCACTTACTGATTAGAACTTTCCTTCCTGTGTTGCCGGAAAAGAGCACCGGAAGTATTTTGCGCAGAACTTCTCTCTGCGTAGGCGGCCTTCGGCCGCGGTTAGGGATTAATACCCTTACTAAGTAGAGGTAAATATAAAATTAATATTAGAAAAAAAAACTAAATTATCCATATTCACACTTTCGTTAGAAAACCGAAATAATGCATGCATGCACAATTTCTGTTCAAAACCGAAATAATGCATATGTGAAAGACGAAGGAATGCATACATGCACAGTTTCGGTTGAAAACCGAAATAATGCATATAACAAAAACCCGAAGTAATGCATACATTCACAGTTTCGGTTGAAAACCGAAATAATGCATATGAGAAAATACCGAAATTATGCATATGCATACTTTCGTTTTAAAAGCGAAATAATGCATATGGATAAAATAAAATAAATAAATAAATAATGTCTAAATGAACAGTTTCCATTTGCGTAATTTCGGTGCCCCATCCCTTTATGGCCTTAACTGCTTCACATTCCATGTCCCTTTATCCCGACCTGCTTCGTCCACCAGAACACACGTCTATGGCGACACCTTCTTTTTTACTGTGAAAGGTCCTACGTAGATAGATAGATAGATAATTATGAGGTATGCACTGCGACCTGATGATCTATTGTGCCCTCCGCTCTTCACAATACTTCCTCCAAGCCAAGATCCCCCAGGAAGTCCAAAAGCTTCTTTGGGGATAAGGAGTGTATGTGCTCTAACTGTGGCCACATGGAGCCTAGACTCCTCTAACGTCTTCCGCTGACTGCATCACACTCGATGAGGATGTGGAGTGGCGTTTCACTAGAGACGTCGCAGAACCGGCAAAGGTCATTTGATCGTAACCCCAGTTTATACATATGCCCTCCCAGCCTGCAGTGTCCTGTAAGAAAACCTGTTAATATTCTCAGCCTCTCTTTTGGGAGGCTAATTAAACTTTTTAATCTACTCTTGTTGTACCCTTCTAGCAGGCTTTTTGCCTGTCGCATACCAACCGAACTCTGTCAGTTCGAGTCCCTCATATTGCCCCTCTCCTCCCTGAGCTTTTCCTTAATAGTGTTGGGACCCACTCCCACACGCCTCTCTAGCGAGACAGTCCGCCACTTCATTCCCCTCTATTCCCATATGGCCAGGCACCCACGCCAATTTGACGTTGTTGTGCCTACCAAGGGAGTTGAGCCTCTCTATGCACCCAAGGGCTAGAGACGATTTAATTTCGAAGGATAACAGAGCCCTGAGTGCCGCCTGACTGTCTGTCACTAAGAATTACAATCCTCTCATTACGGTATCCTCCATTAATGATGGTCTCCGCACACAAGTAGATGGCGTAGACTTCAGCCTGGAAAATGCTCGGATACTTCGCCATCGGGATAGAGATCCTGGACCTAGGTCCGGAGATTCCAGCCCCTATTCCTTCCGGGGTCTTCGAGCCATCTGTGTACCATTGCAGTGTACTATCCTGAAGGAGTCTCTCAAAGGAGGAGGCACTCCAGGTTGCCTTACTGCTTAACTCAATTTTAAACCTCTTTTCAAACCTTGTGGCTCTACATATGTCATCCCTCGGGAGCATGGCTAGCGGAAGCGAGGACCCTAGCTTCGCCATGTTCCTAGAGGAAACGACCTTACCTCTTCCATACCCCCCTCTAGTGAAATTGAGCTGAGTTATTTTGGCAGCCAGTTCTATAGTTATGTACAGGGGCTCGAGTTCAAAGACCACTTCCAGCGCTGTCGTCGGACACGTGCGCATCGCTCCCATTATGCATACACATGCCAGTCGTTGTAGCTTAGTGAGCGATTGTCTCACCGTAGCCAGAGTGGTTCTTAAAACCCAGGCCACTGCCCCATATGTCACTATTGGCTGTACTATCATGGTGTAAAGACATCTCAGGATCCTGGGGCTGCAACCCCAGGATTTTCCCGACAGACGCTTACACACCATTAATGCTTTCGTAGCCTTGGATGTGGTCTCATCCACGTG